CATCAATATGGAAGATTATTTGTTATTAGCTGAACTATATATATATATATATATATATATATATATATATATATATATATATACATTTGGTTGGATAGATGTGAGTTTGTGACCCTGGGTTTCACGCTTTAGCGATCGTCAGACAAACTGATTAATGTTTTAAAAAATTTGGGTTCATGTAGATTGCGTGTATTGGTGTTATTGTGGAAGTGGTGGGGGAAATTTCGTCGTTTTGTCATTCATCGTACTAACGCAAACATCGATGTATGCAGACACATATACATACTTGGTCGTCCGTCGGGACTCATACATTATTATAATTATTTATATTTATTTTTAAAATATATGTGTATATTTTTCTCGGACATTCTCTGAATGTCCGAGAAATTCATATGAAAATTTCTCAGACATTCAGGCCGGTAAATGTTAATACTGTTTATTATAAACAGAGCATTTACTAAAATACTTGTATCTATAAAAAAAAAAATATGAAATGAATGTTAAACATAAAATGTCTTTTAATATATATATATATATATATATATATATATATATATATATATATATATATATACGCTGTACTGTTTTTGCACCATCTTAATTTTGAACTATGTATCTACCATGATACCCTGCATATTTTGTTTTAAAAAAGATAAGCAATATCATGTGCCCAATGTGCTGGGTAACCAACGAAACTTAAATCAAACACCAAACATAGGTATATCTATCTATCTATCTATCTATCTATCTATCTATCTATCTATCTATCTATCTCTCTCTCTCTCTCTATATATATATATATATATATATATATATATATATACATTTTTATAACCATCGCCAGTCCTTCACAAATGGATCTAAAAAACACCAAACAGCACTATCAAACCATTATTGGGATTTGTTGGAGAACAGCTTAACCCCACAAGTGAAATGGAAAATCGTCCCTAGGGCTCGAACTCCAATAAATTTCAGAGACTGATGTGACCTGTGTATAAAAGAGAAGATCCTAATGATAAAGCATAAAGATCCTGATATATTACTGAACCAACATAATGAGATATTTTTTAAATGTAGACATTGAAACCGTCTCAATCTAATTCAATATACTTAGAAAAAACTATATACAAAGGTAAATATTGTGTTATTTTTGGATTTAGAAATGATTGTATGCACACATGGGTGCAGATACATAATTGTATGTATACAAATATGTAGATGGACTTGGACATAAATATGTGGATTTATATGTATATGCATTTGTATAAGTGTATATATACAGATGTATCTGTATATGTATTGTAGGTGCATAGTATATATGTGTATATGTATATTCATAATTTTAGGTAGGTATATATATATATATATATATATATATATATATATATATATCGAGTCATATATATAGTATTGTATGTGGTCTGTATGTGTATATATATATGTATATATATATATATAAATATTTGTGAGTTCATATATGTGATATATGTGAAAAATTTAAATGGATATTTAGCTAGCAACAAGTGTGTTTTTTCCAGGGATTTACAGTAAATAGTATTTTGATCATAAAGGTTTAATGTTATTAGTAAGTTATGGGAGATTTAACCTTAGTACAAATTAAATTTATGTAAATCAGTTGACTGATGGATTCATAAATTGTGGGTAATCCCGGGTCGTTTAATAGAATTGATCATGCAATCTAACATACATACACCCACATGCATCCACATATACATGTCTGTGTGTTTATAAATATATACGCTTATGTGTACCCACATACATGTATATAAGTAACTACACCCCCCCATACATAAATGTATATGTATGTATATATATGCATATATATATATATATATATATATATATATATATATATATATATATATATATATATATATATATATATATATATATATATATATATATATATATATATATATATATATATACTTACTGGCTTATGTCTCAGGAAATTGACTCCATTTTACATGGTCTATAGGTAATTTTTGCCTGAGCCTATGGGCTCGGATACCCTACTTTAAATTCGGCCTTGTGCCACATCTTGTCGTGTGGGGCAGTGGGTAAATAATTATATATATATATATATATATATATATATATATATATATGTGTGTGTGTGTGTGTGTATATATATGTATATATATATATATATATATATATATATATATATATATATATATATATATATATATATATATATATATATGTATAGTTTATGAAAAACTAGGTAATCCGTATGGGTAAACCTAAGGAGGATAAAATCCAGAGAGCTCAATGTAAATCCAGAGAAAATAATATATATGTATATGCGTTTATATGGAGAGATAGTCATGCATGTGTTATTTTTGTGTATTGTGGGCACATTTTTGGAGTGGGTGGGCATGGTTATGGATATGTATGTATATATTATATATACTTGTATGTATATAGGTGAGCTGTTTTTTTTATATATGTAGTTATATGTATATATGGGTGTATATATGTGTATGTGTGAGTATGTGGGTACATGTATATGTGTGGATGTGTATGTATACAATTTTTTATAATTTCTATATATGTATGTGTGGGTGTGTATATATAGATGGATACATGTATGTCGTTCCATAGATAGTGTATGTATGTATGTATAAATATAAGTAGTTGTGAGTTCATATATATAATATGGTAGAATATAGATATATTAAGGCAATTAAGCATGGATTTTGATATGTTTTTTGCATGCTCGCACATGTCGGTGTATATATGTATATGTATATTTGTGTGTATGTGTATATGTGTGTATATGTGTGTGTATATGTGTATATGTATGTGTATATGTGTGGGTATATATGTGTATATGTGTATATATATATATATATATATATATATGTGTGTGTGTGTGTATATATGTGGGTGTATATGTAAATGTGTATGTTTGTATGCGTGTGTGTATATCTATATGTGAATGTGGGTATGTATGAGTATATAAATTATATATATATATATATATATATATATATATGTGTGTGTGTATGTATGAGTATATACATTATATATATATATATATGTGTGTGTGTGTATGTATGAGTATATACATTATATATATATATATATGTGTGTGTGTGTATGTATGAGTATATAAATTATATATATATATATATATGTGTGTGTGTGTGTGTGTGAATATATGTATATATATATGAATTTGTATATGTATGTGTGTATGTGTACGGATATGTGTGTAGATGTATATTTATGGATACATAGAATATTATAAAAGAAGGACTTACAGTCCTGTTATTAGTGTTTTATTTCATTTTCTCATTTAATATTCTCCAATTGGAAGTGTGAGTTTAAAATTCTTTATAATATAGAGGAAAAATTTTTAAATTGATAATTTAATTTAAATTGAAATATATTACCCTTTAATAATCATTATTGATGATAAAATATTTAAATTGGAAAAATTTTTGATATTTAGGTAGATGTTAATACATGAAGTTACCTGTGTATTTCGGCAGATGGGTACCTGTATAATCTATATGTAAAGGAACGTGTGTATATGTGATATTTGCATGGGTGTGTATACAGTATATGACAGAGCAAGATCTTTAATATTACCTTCAAATATTACCCCATATTAACTTAACTAAAATTTAAGTAAAAGAGATTACCTATCTAGAAACAGTCACGAGTTAAATTCATGAACAAAATTCAAACGGATAGAGATGTCAACTTAATAATCAATAATAAAAATTTTTAAAGAGATTAAAAAAGATTACTAGAAGTAAATTTATATTTTAAAATAAAATTTTGTACTTTCTATGAATATTTTTCTAATCGACTATTTCATAGAAAATCCCCAAAATTTAAAAAAAATTTAAATCACTAACAAACATCAAATTAAATTATTTGTAGACAGTCTAGAGACATTCAAATTTATATCAAACATTATAATCTTTATGAACCCTCAAAATAATACTTTCAAAGTAAAGCAAAATAACAGCGTCTGTTTCTAGCCTTCTTTTTTACAAAGAAAATTAGTGACATCTTCTCACTTTTTTCTTCTCTACCCCTTCGATATCAATATATAACTTCCGTTAAGTTAACCATTTAAATGTGTCAATATCTGCTCACTCCCCCCTCACTTCCTCACTTTGTTAATTTACATATGTTTAATATGGCCCGTCAAAAATGTGTAAATTTTCTTTTCATTTTTTGTTTGGAAGTAAAGTCTGATGATCCGCAGTCCTTTTAAAAGGGCTGTGGTGAAATAATTTATTATATGGAACCTTAAAGTCGTCTGTTTTTATTTAAATTATATATATATATATATATATATGTATGTATGTATGTATATATATATATATATATATATATATATAAACAGATCAAAAAATTAAAAATATAAGATTGTGACAATTTACCCATTCGTAATATTTTGCCTCTTGGAAATGAGTTTCAAGGTGGGAAATAATCCATGTAAATGCTTTTGAATTCTATCAAAACTGGCATGTGAGAATTGAGTTACTCCAAGCCCAGGTATGACAGCAATTCTCCATATTTCTTTTCGTCTGGATCTTTTAAATTTATTGTTTAGCAAGAGGAGTCAAAATCTTACTGGAGTGGCACTATTGTTGAATAATACTTTTTATTCAAACTCTTTCAATAAACACATTTTATTCTGATGGAGTAAGCCTAAAGTGGATTATCTGTTCATTTTTTTTGTTTGTAACTGGCAAGTTGATTTTTTTTCATTTGAGAATATTGTCTCATGTTTAGATTAATATTAGGTTTCTTTTCTCTGTGATTTTTAAAATATTTAGTTTTTTGACAATGTATCTTTATAAACCAATAAATTTCATTGACGTGGGTCAGTCTTCTAATTTGTCAGCAATGTAATCTTGTAGACACAAAAACATTGGTAATATATTGTATACATTCAACAAACTTTTACTTTCACACTGATGCTGATAACTGTTTTTTTTTTCTCTTTCCAGTGTGCAAGAGATGGAGACTTTTACAATATCAAGTTTCTTCTTAAATACATGACCAGTAAGAATACACTTAAGAAGAACATAAATAAACATGATGAAAGTGACCTTAGCCCACTTCATTATGCTGTACGCTACGGACATATAGATAGCGTTAAATTACTGATTGAACATAAGGCAGGTAAGAGCACATTTTGAAATGATTATGTTAGCTTGTAACATTGCATAGGTGATTAATTTCAAATTCTTCATCACAGGTTTCTTTGAGCCCAGTCAGTACTTTAAGTAATGTCATACCATCTGAAATAAGTTTTGGCTTTAAATAATCCATAAACAGTTGATAAGCTATAAAAAAAAAACCCCAAAACAATCATAAATTCCATTTTTATTTTTGGTTAATGAAATGTGTTTTATTTTATAGCACACAGGTGGACAAGATTTTAAAGTTTTTGATTCTTTGTTTATATATTTCTGTTTCAAATATATTAGATGGTTGGAATAAAAGGGATGGGTAGAATTTTTAAGATAATTTTTAGTAATGAAATGCTTTGTCCTAGAATTCTAACTGCCTAAATTAAGGAGTGGGAGGAAATTTCTTGAATATTTAATAAAAGGTGTGGCTGGAATAAACTTGTTCTGGGAGGATTTTTCTCCTAAAAAGAATAATTGTCAGGGTACATCTATTTGAAACTTAAAGGTACTTAAATATATGCACATATATATCTACTTTTTTAAGATTTTTTTTTTATATCTGCTATTCTTTTGGGACTTGCAGCAGAAAAAATAGTTGTCTTAGTTCTTTTCAATCCTGCAGGTCTATCTCTTTGTCATGGGAGTAATTGATATTATTGGGTCATGCTGACCTGTGACATGGTGGCAGACAATTTGAATGTAGAGTTGTCCAAAATTTGTTATCCTCCTAAGGCTAAAAATCTCAGTCTTCTCAGCTATTTTATCCACAGCAGGGGAAGAAGAGATAAGCTTATTCCAAAGGTATGAAATTAATGCAACAGTTTTTTTATACAATAATGTTCACTCTCTATAAGGCCTAAGAGCCATTCGAGGTAGAGGCTGACACAGTAAGAGGCACAGTTTATGCAGATATGTGGGAAGTTAAAGGTTAATGCTAAACTTGAGCAGATTGAGGAAGCATCCTCTTGGGAGTTGGTTCCACCATAGAAAAATGTATTCAGCATGCTAAGTTTAATTCCTAATCAATTCTGTTTCATTCACTTTGCTTTAATATTCTTGGAAAAGACATGAATCCCACTCTCCCAATTATGGGTTAAATAGCAGAGCAGACTGAAATCTCTTGTTTTAAAGTGGCAAACACTGCTATGGCTACAATATACATGTTACACTTATGATCCTAATCGATTACATGACATGACATGTTTTATTAATTTACATTCCCTCTTTAAGATTTATTAATGATAATTATATCTGGCAAAAGTGGACAATCAAACAATACCACCAGACACAGAATACTAAATTTACAGCATACTGTGTGTACTAACAAACAAGCTGATGTTTAAAATTGCCTTTCAAAACCTTCAAAAACATTTAAAGTCTACATAATTGACTGATTGATTTATTTTCTACTGCTTATCAACCCTTTATGGATTATTTAAAGCTAAAAAGTATTTTTTGATTGTAAGAAATTTTTTTTTGGTGAACTTTGACTGTTGTCCCAACAAAAAGTTCAAGATCTGCAGGTCAATATGAATAAACCACTCATATGTTCATCATAAAGAATTTTTTCCAGAACATATTTCACTGCTTCATATTTCTCCTTCAGTGTAGTTGGGTGAGCAATTAGGGAAATGTGATTAAATATACTTTAATGTTTAAAAAAATTATTCGGTATTATTATTGTTTAGGTCGTAAGTATAATAATATAGCACAAATAGCTATATTGTGGAAAAAGGAATTTTTGACAATATATGCATTTTTATGTATTTATGGTTATTTTTTTAACTTTTATCAAAATGACATTTTTGTACATGTAGTTATAGATAATATTATATGTTAATTACTAATTTTTTTAATTAATAACTATTTGTGCTCAGTTGTTGACATTAATAGCTATCTGATGATTTGTTAAAATTTCGGGATAATGCAATAATAAAAATTTAAATTTCATCTCTCTGATAGATGTCATAATCTGTAAATAAAAAATTTAAAAAAGGCTAAAAACTTGTTTAGGCACACTGTTTACAGATTCACTGCATTAAAGTATATTAATCACATCTCCCTAATAGCTGCCATGTTCTGTTAAATACTAGCACAGTGACTTTATCATTACTCCCCGCAAAATACTAAATTTTACATTTTGTTACTTAAAATTTGTTTTATCAAGTTTGATTCCTCATTCTGTATACTATGAATAACAAAAATATACTAATAAAAAGAGAAAAATATTCACACATCATTGCTTGGCTAAATAAACAATTCCCATAAAATCAGTGAAAAACAGGTATTTTTAGAAAGCTGATACACACATGCGGGTAGAAACAGGTTTCTGACTAATCTCTAAGAAATAACACTAGAATTGATTGAGTACATAAAAGTCCAAATTACAATCTAGTAATATTTGAACTTAGCTTGCATGATCAAAAGAATAACATTTAACTGAATTACCCCATTGAGTGATAACCTATATATTATCTTTCAAGTTAATGCTAATCACTAGTTTATACTTTCTAATAGTACAATTAACAAACAATTAGTCAGAATTAGGATCAATTTGTCTGTGTAATTTATTCTGTAATTTTCTGCTAAAGCAAAAATAAAGGTATAAATATTACTGAAGAAAGATTTGAGGAGTTGTTAAAATCTCAGAATGTAGGGAAAATAAACCCAGTTTTTTTTTTTTTTAAGGGAATAAAATTCTTTCACTATATAAAGTTTTTGTAGATATGTTAATCCAAATCACTTCTATATAGTGAAAAATGATACACAGTCAAATGTATCATAATAGACTGAATGAAAACACTGGGCAACAAAATAACATTTTTTTTTTAAGTTGTCTGTATTTATCAAAATGATTTAGGACAATTTTTCACTGCTGAATCTGAAAATGACGTCCGTTTCTCTCAATCAGGTCATGTTTTTGTGCTATGTTGAGTTTTTAAAAATCTGATCTTGTGACTAAATCAATTACATTTTTGTGACATTATCAATTGAATTTTGTTAATATTTCTAATACAAAATATGTTTTTAAGAGAAAAATTGTATTCTAACACAATTTATTGATTAAATGTTACATACATTGATTACAATAAATTGAACAGTATATATTGATAAATCTAAGTACATGTAAATTGCATGTTATGTCATCATAGTTCAAAATTCAGGGCTTGAAATTCAATTCATTCAAACCCTTAGAATGATCAGTGGCAGGTAGTGTCTCTCTTCAATGTCCAGCATAATCAGCCATCATGACTGCATCTCTAATACCTAGTCACTGACTATTTCTTTTCATCCATTTCTGCATAGATCTAGCTGTAATGTTTCCCCATAAGTGTGTTTTGGTATGAAAGATATATGGTTGACAGTTGCTTATTGCAAATTCATTTATTCAAAAGTGTGTGTTTCCTGGTGAGCTCTTGTTGTTTTTTTTTTATTTCATGCCAGTCAGACTCTTGTTCAGGAATGTTCTGTATCAAGAGATTTAACTCATGGTTACTAGTTTCTGAGCACAAATGCTACACTAACCAATTTTTATTTTTCTGATTCTAGTATCATCTGAGTTGATTAATGAAGGTTTTTGTTGATCTACTTGATCTCTTCATATAATTTGGTTGTTCCAGCAGATAGAAAGGAAAGTGTATCTCTCTATCTGATTGTCCTCAAACATACATTTCTAACTATCCATTTCTGTCATCCATAGCTCTTTTCCATTCTTCCTTTTCTGATTGCGGTGTCATTTGAGTTGATTGATGATGGTCCTTGCTGGTTTACCTCTTGATAAGTTCATATAATTTACTTGTTATGGTAGATTGAAAAAAAAAGTGAATTTATCTGATCATTCTCAAACATAGATTGGCCAGAAGGTCCTGGCTCATGTAGGAAGTGGAAAGAAAACAACAAAATTTTATGGAGTAACAATAACATTTATTCTTCAAAATAAAGTCCATCATTCTCAACAATCTTCTGCCAGCAATCAGCCAGCATCTGAATCTGTCCCAGATACCAGCCCGCTGGCTTTGAATCAAAAAACTGTAAACAAGTTTCCTTCACTTCATCAAAAGTGTTGCAGAGGAATTGTGCTATTGAGCGGAATAGGCCATAGTCACTCAGAGCATCATCAAGACTGAATGGTGGATGTAGAATAACCTCAACACCATCTATCTGTTTGAGCTTCTCCTTAGTCAACCTAGTGGTGTATAACCTTGAATTGTCTTGCTGAAACAACACCAGACCTTGGTTGACCAAACCTTCTTTCATTTGCAGTATATATAGTCTAGCTGCTAGCAATACAGTTTAGTGTTGAATGCCCAACAATGTGGAACAAGCTCAAAATGCAGTACTTTTTGGAAATTCCACCAGACAGAGATCAAGATTTGTTGTTTTCTTTCCGTTTCTTAAGTGAGTTCAGGACCTTCTGGCCAACCTATTAGTTCTAGGGACTCCTTTTCAACCATTTCTGTCATCCATAGTTCTAACCAGTTCTTCCCTTATGATATTTGTGTCTTCTGAGTTGATCGATGAAGGTTCTTACTGGTCTATTTCTTGATCTTTTCCCATAATTTTGATCCCATAACATAAGCTGATGTACAAATTTTTGTTTACTTCCCTAGTGATAGCCACTAAACTGCACTTGCCTTTCACAGATTGGGTTCATAGTTTTTGGTAGCTCCTCATATAGTTCTTCATTGGGCATGTGTTGTTTCCAGCTGACATTTAGTGTTGCTTGCAATAGCCAAGTGTACCTCCTATCTTGTGATTTTGCCAGTGTTCAAATGCTTCACTTATATAAGAGGACTATTTCTACTGTTGACCATAAGTTATTAAGGATAAAATACAACCACTATTATTGTTTTATTATTCCCCATCACTACCATAATTTGTTGTGTTACTTATTATATTCAGTCATTAGTATGAATTAAACTTTGATGAATTTTTTTAATAAATAAATGTAATTTAGTATTTACTGTGTCACTAATCTTCCAAGTGTGG